TAAAATAAACGTCATATTTTTACAAGAAAAAATATGTAATTTATATATAAAACAACCCATATCTCCTGTGTTTGTAAAAATAAGTATAGTATGTGATATGTTGCTAAAAAGAAAAAAAAAATCTCTATTTTTTTGACCACCTACGATTTCAATTTAAAAAAATATAACTTTGGGTCATAACTTCGAAATCTTAAGATCTACTAAAAATCTAATACAGGCATTCAATTCTGCGCCAAAGAATTAGTCTTGAGCAGATTTCACTTTAACTCTAACTTATTTAACAGCTGAGATACAGACATGTTCAAAAGTGTCACAATAACGAGAAACGCCCTGTAACTCAGAAACAAATGAAGATAGCAAATTTCTGATTTCACAATCGAGGTTGCCAAGAAAATCGATCTCGAGAACGTCGTGTCAGGTGTATCATATCTTTAGTAGTTTCTGAAATACCCTGAAATCCCATCGAAAATGGACCAGCCTGTGCAATTATAAAAAAATCCTATTAAATGAAGGCAATGTTCTGTGTTACCAAAAATCTAAGCATGCAAAGGATATCTAACCTCACACTCCTAACTGTTGATATTGCTTGAACTACTCTATAGGTACCAACTCGTATTGAATTACATCCATAATTATAATTAATAAATGCATAGTTCAACATTTCGTTTGAAAAAAAAATACGGGACTCTACCTAGGTACCCAAGAGTTTCTGGGGTCGCTAATTCCGATACCGAGGTCGTTTAAACTCTATCACCTCAGGTTCAAGGGCATTTTAAATCATCTTTCATTAAAAAAAAAACAAAACAAAAATTACTTTGAAGTTATGTAACTCACTTAATTTTGACGTTTCATAAAATAACTTGTACTATTATTTCTATGAGTGAACTCATGTTTCTAGCATAATTGCGGGACACCCTGTATATACTCACTTTTTTATAATAAAAAAAAAACGGAAAATAAGAGCTTTTCAACGCCATGCCCGTAAATTGAAATTTAGATGCGTTATTGTAAGGCAGATTTTATCGGCTGTAAAATTTTACAACTAGCGTGGTGACTTCGGCCCCGGGGGCCAGGAGGCGGCACAGGACATCCAGGGAATCCATTTCCCGAGGGAGGATCTGGCCTTGCTCCGCGCGGTGCATAAATCATTAGACCTTGCGGTTTGGCCCGAGTGCTTGTTATCAGCATATTCGAGGTTCCGAACATATATCATACATTTGTCCATAATATACCTGTTTTTTTTTCTGTGTGAGGATTTGCTCCCATCTCGTAATTAATCGTATATTTACGCCTTAACGAAATGGGTCAGTGGAACTGGATTTTTCTGAACCTCAGTTTCCTAGAAATAAAGACACTACACGGAGAAGGCGATATCGTGTTCTCAATCTTTTTAAATCAGTACTGCATTTAGTATTATTCGAATTTAGTTGTAATTATTGTCAGTATACAGGGTGTTGCATAAGTGTGTACAAAAATTATTTCATATAATTTCTTTAACTTGACCTTCCCCTAAAAAGTATATTAAATGGGGATGGTGTAAACTGGTTTACTAAATTAAAAAAAATAAATAAATAATTCATATGTAATTTAAAATAATCTTAGTAGAAATGATATTGCTTTACAAAAGTTATTCAAAATTAGTGCTGGCAAAAACCGGAAAAAAGTGAAACCGGTTAACCGTGTTCCGTAAAAACCGATTTCAGATAAAACCGGTTAGTCGAATAGTTGCTAAAACCGGTTATTCGAATAACCCGTTACTTGAATCGCCAAAACCGGATATCTGAAAATCGGTGCTTTACAAAGATAGACCCGGAGAAATTGTCTAAAAAAAAAAGGTCTACAAAAATCTGGAAGTCAAATTTGTTTACGAAGAAATCGATCCCCAAAAAAAAAGGTCAATTGCAATCGGACAAATCGATGTCTAAAAAAAAGGAAGTAGATCATCGAATAATCGGTTATTTGAATAATCGGATATTTGAAGATTCGAATAACCGGTTTTCGGATATTTGAAGAATCGAATAACCGAATAACCGGTTTTAGGATTTCATAAAAATCTGAATTATCCGAAACCGGTTAATCGATTATCGAAAAACCCGATTTCAGTTGCCAACACTATTCAAAATAGCCTCCGTTTTGAAAAAGCATTCATCCACTCTTTTCAAGAAATTAAAACGTAGACAATACAAATTTTTTTTAAAGGCAAAATATGTTTTTAAATAATCAAAGGCATCTTAAAATAGTACTTAAAACATCTGAAAGAATAAAAAAGTTTGTAAAAAAAACTAGGAATTGGTGAATTATTTCACCCCCTTATAGCATATCAGGAAAATGGAAAATTGCCAGTAAAATATGATTTTATAAGTACCTACTATAATCACTCCAAATTTGGTTTGCTTATATTCAACAGTTTTTGAGATAAATAAAAAAAATTTATTTACACCATCTCCTTTTAACCTTTAATGGACTGTAACTTTTTAAGGGAGACTGAAAGATCCCCTTAAAATTTTCCAAGGAATGCAGTCCTTGAAACATCCTGTATAAGTGTGCTACTGGAAATTCAACTAATCGTTTTATTCAATCAAATATAAACTCTTTCGGTGATAAATATTGATGAAATAATATTGTACGATTGAACGTTTTCCTTCTTTTCAATTTTTTTTTGAGGGTAAGTCTCGCCAATTCCACTCGGTTATAAATGCGACCTTTTGGATTCTTCTACGGTCCTTCTCCTTTGACTTGTAGCTCCTATTACTGTGATACTGCTTTTTAGAATATAACTTTACCTAGCATAATCGTCCTAAAGGTAAAATCATGTTGAAGGAAAGGAATATATTATTAAGTATTAATAGCATCCAAATGCAATATAGATATTGGTTAACTCTGTTATACTATAGAGCCTCCCACGTGACAAGTAATTTTGTTTGGGAAAAGTAATTTTATTTCGTTCGCGTTGGCAATTAAAGAATATTAAAACAATAAGATGAAGATCACATTGAAACATAACATTCTGTCATTACGACTGATGTCACTAAGGTGTAGGGATTTTTAATTGACAGTGCCAATCGTGCAATGTTGTATGCCTATGATTGGCGGTCACGTGAGTTCATCATCATTTATGAAGGCTCTGCATCTATGAGCCGTACAGTTCAGTTTTTCTCGGTGTACTGTTGCAACAGAAATCAACAGGAGCATTCGAAATTTCATTCCGTCCCATATCTTTATTTATATTTATTATTAGAAATTCCAAAATTCTTAAGTGAAATGCATTTGAAGCCTATACAGGGTATTTCCTTACGAATAGGCTTAATAAGAAATTCCTTAGAGCAATGGAATAATTGAGCAAAAAATGCCTCAATCAAATGTTGCTCATTTTCAACCCATAGGGTATCAAAGTTTATACATTTCTGTTTAATTTTACCATTACATTGCACAAAGTTATTGGATATTTCCGTTTTTTTTAATTCGAGAATTTAAAAAGAATTATTCATTTTTTGTTAATCGACAGAGGGCATTAGTTAGTCCTTATTGGAGATGGAAGATATTGATCTACACTTTTTTTTAACATATTTACAATTTTAAGTAAATATGAAATAAACCTTTAGATTTATGTAGCAGTATTTTCATGTTCAGTATGTATCACTCCGATAAGTGTGATTGATAATAAACAATTTCGATTATGTTAGCAGAAATATCTACCTCAATGGCTATTACCCCGTCGAACGTGATTAAAAAAAATGTAAGAAATTGTAGACACAAAGAGTAAAACAATTTGTTTAATAAATAATTCACACAACACAAATGACGATTAAAAAATTAATCTGACTTTCAGATTATAATTTGAAAAAGGACATTCAGTTTACCCAACTCAATAGAATCACGACATAACACCACTTTAATGTTTCGAGTTTGGATAGGTGAGATGTTCTTGATAGCGACTGAATTTCTAAGACATCAAAGGCATAATTCAGATGCACAATGGATTAAACACTGTGTACAATGTACGCAATTTACCTACCAACGTGTCTGGCAGCAATCAGCCTCGCCTGGCTTTGTGAAATTAGATATCATGGAAGGAGAAAGGCACATCAGAAGGAGCACCAAAAAGTTAAATACTCTTCTTGCGGCATTAAATTTAATGCCATTAGTGATACTTAATACCGTTCTTTGTTATTTGTCCTTTTCTTCAAAAGTAATTCCTATTATCATCATTATTATCAATACTAACCTAAAGCTCACATTTGTCCTTTATTTGAAAACAATAACAGAGCTTGAATTGAAAGTTCAATGTATATTAGGTTTTTCAAAAGCGAAAAATGATAGTAATTGTCATAGAATAGTTACAATTCTGCTTAACAAACAGTGTGGACCATTTTGGTGATGCATATATTGGTGTCTTGGAAACTGTAAAAGATACTAAAAGTGATTATGGGTAAAAAAATGGAGGAAGTTTTAGACAGTTCTGTTGCTAACTTAATTGCGCTGCCAGACCGGTCCTAGCTCTACAGGTTTTTGAGTTATTTTGAGAAAAAGTTAATGTAGCATTGTCGAAAATCATCTGTAACTTTTTTATTTAGAGGAATTTTTAAAATCTGAAAATAATTTTTCGCAGCAAGTTTTTTCGAGGTATATCACTGTATATTTAGATTTTCATTGCGGCGTTTCGGTTGCGAGAAACCATCATCTATCTTTCTTCTTATGGGCGCTATATTGAATTTTAAGCTGAGCAAATAGAGCATTTTTTTGGCTTTATTATTACTTTTTATTGTATTTAGACTACAGCTATATAGAACTACAGCTATATTCTATAATTTAGAATAGAACAATTATATAAAAAGATTTACGTCCAGTTTCATAATGCGTTCTTTAAAGCGCTATCGCAACAATAATTCATCATAATAATTAGCAAACTTTGCTTAAAATCAACTTGTGCTAGTATGATTATGAAACTCGACGTTAGTTAATTTGTAAACCATCTATTTTTAAACAATATTCTGTTTTAGGTTTTTGAGAACAATGAAAGCATCAAAATATATCCCATAGAAATCGACGTGGATCATGCTTTAAACCTGAGATCTTCAAAATCCAAGATAGAAATAACGACCAATAAATCGCACTTCATTCTTGGCATCATGACCATCAGATGTGAAGCTTCCATCTACTCCATATGGAAAGAATCTGTGGAAAAGGTTGTGAGGGATGACACACCGCAGCTCGCACCTGTTCTTGGATCCACTTCTTCTCAGAGTCACACTGATCAAGTCATAGGTGCAAATTTCAATTTTTTCTCCTTTTCGCATAAACGGGATGTTTACGAGTTTGGGGATGCATTTTTTATGGGAGATTGATTGATTGATTGATTGATTGATTGATTGATTGATTGATTGATTGATTGATTGATTGATAAAAGAAACTGATTGTTAGCAATTTTACTTAACGAAATTCACCCAGTTAACCAGCGTTCAATAATAGCACAGGCACATAAAATAAAAAGTTGGCTGATCTGGACCAGTTCAACTCTTATTCCAATGTATTTTGACACGCTGGACACAAATCTGGTACTGGTTAAGCTTCCTGGCTTCTCCTATTCCTACAAGTGTTTTGAGATATTGATGCTCCAATTTGATCATTTAAAATTCAACGCGAGAGGTAGATTCTATACCCAAGTGATTTTCTTCAGTGGTACGAGCAAGAAGATCAGAAGTAACCGATGCTGAAAGGGTGGACATCAGTTCTTCAACGGATAATGTTCCTGTTAGAACCGAGTTCATAGAAGAGGGAATCGGAAGCAGAGACAATGTTGAAGAGAAAAGGGAAGAAAGTGAAACTGAAACAGAAGAAGATAAAATAGAAAGAAGTGATGACGAATACGTAGTGACAGATGAAATACAACTTCCAAGTCCATTTAACCACGGATTCAGATTTAGCGTGTCAAAATACAGATAGATAATCTAATGGAATCTTCAAGTCAGCCCACCATTTTATTTTATGCCTGATTTATATAACTTTAACAACTTTTTAATATGTTTTTATCAGTTGATCATTACTGTTTTTTTTTTTCAGAAATTATCAGCAGTAGCAGCGGCTGGACCCTGAGTCGGTCTATGTGGAACGTCCTCAATGTACAATTCTTTTTAATGTTATTTCTGAGGTAATGTTAAATATTGGGTAACTAGAAATTATTCAGCGTGCCTCATCAGTGATGTTTGTAAACGTAAAGGGTATTATTCTGAAATTGTTCACTGAGTACACAACCCCAGGTTAATTTATTGATAACGTATGTACATATTGTCTGTTGGTGGATGTGTTGTCTTAATGGAAAAATATTTAACTGGTCTGGAGTTGAGTGTCCAAGAGGGACACCTGTCGTAGACAGTTGAGTGCATTTTTCTACATTATTTTCACTGTGACTCAGCTCATATATGTTTTTGCCATCTGTTATGTACAAAGTACCACAATCAAAATGAGGATCATTACGATAACACATTTTTCTCGTTAGTAAGATAAGTTTTAATGGCAATAAGTGGAAATTGTATAAATCCAGTCCCTTATATATAGTATTCTCTGAAATTATAATATCTATTTAATAGACTACCTATTCCTACATACCATAGTGTTAATTTATATTCTAGTATGTAAAAATGTGATAAAAAAACTAGAACTAAGGTTTTAGTAAAGTAGATAATTATTTTAAAATTTGTAGTACGCAAAATTTATAACCAATGTAAATGTTTATAAAAGTTTATTATAATCTATCCCAATTTTTGCGTACATACGGTGTATTATATGGTGTAATATACATGTTGAGACGATTTTCTCTTTAACTAACCAGATAAGCTTTTTGATTGTTGGATAATTTGCGCATTACATTGTTTTTTACATATACTGTATTTATTGTAGGTCGTTAATAAATTCATAGTCATGTTTATAATAAAATTGTTAAAACTTGCAGTCGTTTATTTTCTTGTATTCACCAATTATTTAGGGTAGAAAATGTTAAAATCTGCGAAATAATTTGAATTTTAAAATATTTTCCAAAATTACGTTAATTATGTTGACTGAACTGAAAATATAACCTGGATTTTTTTAGTGATGAATTAATAATAAGCATTTTCAATAATCAAAATTGCTGAAATTGCAAAACAAACGGAAATTGTTAAAAATTTGGAAACCTCTGGCATCGTCCTCTATACAGGGTGATTCACAACTTATCCAAAAAAAAAATTGGGAATAAATATGTTTTGAAAAATGGAGTCAATATCGTAAATTTTTTTTTATAAAATCCTTATAATTTCTGAGAAAAAAATGATTGAAGTTGTAATATTTTCAACCCTTACATCGTTGGGCTACTGTAGTCTCTAGAGTCATTCGCGTTATGCGCTGTGCACAATGCCCTCTCTCTCTCCGCTTTTAGTGTTACCGTTTTTGCGATAGTGTTTACAATAGTTTTTCAAGTGTAAAAAATGGCTTACGTGTATAGCAACTCGGAGTTGATGGGTATCTTTTTAATATATGGTGAAGCAAGACAACAATTGTGTTAGTTCGTAGAACGTGGGTAAGACGGGCTCAAATGTGTTTACACGAGGGTGGACAAAATTTTGAACAGTTGTTGTAACAGGTATGTAAAATTAATTAAAACCTCAAATTAATTTTATTGATTAATAATCAATAACAATAGCGTTAAAAGCAGTTGGATTTGCTGTAATAAAATAGGTGTAATTTTATTTATTTCCTTCCTTTGGAAAAAAATTCTTTCAATTTTTTGTCCATTTTATTACACTTTTGCCGTCGTGCATGCTTTGCCTGCGCAAGGTCAGGTTTTACAGTGGACCAGTTTTTAATGACGTGTAAATCATTTTCGAAATACCTTTTCTGTATTTTTTTTTTATAAAATTGTATTTGTAAGAATCCCTTGTACATTAGAAATGAAATTTTTTTGATAAGTTTTGAATCATCCTGTATAAAATGTGATGTCCATAGATAAAACGCCCTCTGCTTCTTGGTACGTTTTTCAAGGTAATTAATAGTGAATTAATATTTAAATAATAATCCCTAATACAATACAAAGAATGATTCGACAATGTGGTAACATATAAAGTCACTAATGAAAACTGTGTATTAATTGCACAACTTCATGCACTGAAAACACTTGAAGACAGAGCCAGCCGAGCTATCAATGGAGTCAGTGGTCCCAAAAATGTTTCTTCGAATTATTGTAGTCAGTATTTAAAACTATATTTTATTTGTAAAAATATTTTTGGAAATCAAGTTTTCTCATTTCGATTTCCACTTCAAGTTTGTAAATACCCTGCATATTACTTTTTAAGTTTTAAAATCCGGCAAAGCAAATGAATCCTTTCCTTATTTTATCCCTTCCAATATTTTGAAAAATTCATTATATTTGGGCTGGAAATGACAAAGAAAATTCAAGTTTTTACGTGTTTATTATTTCAGAGAAACAATAAAAAACAGTAATTCCCGGCTGAATTACTGTAAAACGACGCAGAAACTGGCACGCTATATCGAAAATCAAACCTCAAGGGTTCATCACAGTTCGGAAATGTTTACGTCTCTGTCATATTTGAATAACTGATGTTTAAAATTTATGATATGGAAGGCAACTCATGCATTTATATGATTCTGGTTTTGAGGTATTCATCCCTCGGACGGTATTTCTTTTTAACATTCATGTAACATATTACCAATGCAAAATGGTGCAAGACTTGGTAAACCGGGAAAAAGTCGATTTCCAGTAAAAAGTAATTTAACTTTTCATACTTAGTGCATAGTATAATGTATATAAATGAAGACTATGATTGCACATAACCCAACGCTTATTCAAGTACTTTTAATTTAACACCTATTAAATTCACAAACCCTATTTACTTCAGCAAAGTTACAAAATAAATCTAATTTAACTCAAAAATTCATTAACACTCAGATCTTTAATGTACAGTTTGATTGTCATATATTTTTACCATATCTACGTTAAACTGAATCAAAATAATTAAGTACGTTGTTGCGCCAGCCACCACCTAAAACATACAAACTTTACTCTTTCTTGTTTTTTCTTAAAACCACTTCAATTAGAGACACGCTCATAATGTTTCAAAAAGCTTATTGATTGTTGATAAAACTTACCGAAAATAGCAGAGAATAGTCCAAAGGAAACAACCCACACACGCTGAATGACAATTTACTGTGATACATCTGCAAGGAGTGAAGATCAATCTGAAAAATATGTCTGAATTTAATAATTTATCACTTTTTAATCTTAAGGTCGTACTAGACTTTTCAAATCTTCATTTGCTGAACTATTCCTGATCCTGTGCAAAATTATGGGACATTCATTAGCCTAGAAAGAGAAGTACAGCACAATTTCTGCTTTTGTACCATAAATATCACTAACCAACCTCTTTACAAGTTTCTGCTGATATCCAGACAACAACAAATATCTCCAGTGCGTTGGATAGAGTCCACAAAAAGAAAAGCTTGTCGATCCGTAGCTTACTTGGATCTTTTACAGCGAACACCATAGCGAACAAGAACAGCCCTGCGATGATACTAACGAAGGATATGGCAATTTTAAGCAATTGTTGGAAGCAGAAGGTCTTGTTGGTCAACCTCGCTGTATCCGTTAGTATCATATGGATTTTTGTAACTTGGTTTATTATGTATAAGGGATCATTTGCCGTTTCTTGTTTAGCAGGTTTCGGATGGACCAATCTTATGGTAGATACTAACTCATAGTCTGAAATTGTAAATATTCATACAATTATTGAGTGCAGAACAAAATCAACGTTATATACGTCCCATAAGCACATGATCAAAAAGTTACTGCGACATTCTTTGGCTCAGAAAAAGACGATTTGACCTAACTTCCATTAAGAAAAAATGCCTGGCTCCTGTGCTATTCACTGTCAAAGTTCTTAAAAAAAATATATGTTTTTTGTAATATCTGGAGAATGTTACGATGGATTTTAATGAAACTTGCTGTGGACTTGTTCCTAAGTAAAACTCATGTTTTCATGAAGCAACCGCGTCCATCTGCCTTGGGCTAGTAGTAAACAAGACAACTTGGGTGGGAGTGTACGCGTCTACACGGCGCGATACCCAAATCGACGGGTTCCAGATTACCGATTTACATGGATTGAAAAGAGTTTACGGGAGACTGGGCAATTTTGTGTTTGAGCCGTTGACCGTGTGGGTCGTTCTCAAGTACGAAATGCAGCCGATGAGGGAGACGTTTTAAATAGGGTTGCTTAAGATCCAAATATCAGTACTCGCCGTCTGACAGTGGAATTTAGGGTACCAAAAAGTACAATTAATCGCATCATAAGACAGCAGCTCCTCCATCCTTATCACCATTTTCAGAGAAGACTTCAATTTTGCTCCTTTATTTAAGAAGCGCGGTCCCCCGACTTAACGTTTAATTTTTTTCTATGGGGAGCCTTGAAGAATAAAGTTTACGCTACTCCTGTGGCATCCCAGGAATAATTATTGCGTAGGATTCAAAACGAGGCGGACATAATACGGAATGATAAAAAATGTTGAGGAGGGCTCAATAAGTACGTCTTTATATTTTTGATATCAAAAAATAAATCTAATGAAGTAAAATGATATTCAATCCGTCGTCAGACTTTAAAATTACGACCATCTTACTTACAATATTGATATCCTAGGTAAAAGAATTGGCAATTATTATTAGAGAAAGTTGCTTCTTGTATAAGGGCAGATTTACTGCGATACATGTAAAATTGTTAACAATTTTTTGCAAAAAACTATGAATGGTACCAGATTTTACCAAGAGCACGAAAATCTCGAAAAAGGACTGTTGCATCAATAAAAATAAAATGAATTGATTCCAGCGACCAAATAAAAAGTTCTGGTCATTCTTGTACCAAGACACTCAAGAATTTACCACTAGCCCAAGGCAGATGAACGCGGTTGCTTCATCAAAACGTGAGTTTTACTTAGGAGCAAGTCCACAGCAAGTTTCATTAAAATGCATCGTAACATTCTCTAGATATTACAAAAAACATATTTTTTTTTCAAGAACTTTAACAGTCAATAGCAGAGCAGCCAGACATTTTTTCTTAATGGAAGTTGGATCAAATCGTCTTCTTTTGAGCCAAAGAATATCGCAGTACCTTTTTGATCATGTGCTTATGGGACACCCTGTATATTGCTTGTACCTATAAAGTAAGGTTTTAAACATACTTTCCTAAAATGCATACTCACCAATTTTACAAGGCGTCAACTCGGTACTCTCTAATAAGCATTTATTTAGCTTCTTATATCTTAGACGAAGAAAGTTCAGGTACTGAAAGTACTGCAATTCCGTCAATGCATTAGCAACGCAAGGTAAATAGTAAGACAATATTTCCACAAGTATGTTTGGCAATTGACTAGAGTAGCAGGCCAGAAATAATTCTGTCGTTATCAACAGTGACAAGATTACTCCAACTCCCACAAAAGCAACTGTTATATAAATTATAATCATAATGTGTGTTCTCCTGAAAAAATTACAAGAAAAAATATTAGGGTATCCCAAAAAGGGCCGAAGCCCTCGATAATGGTTCAGGATTAAGTCCTATAAAAGAAAGTTTTAGATAAAAGTTGTAGGATATCAAGAAATCAATAATCCCATGATCTTGGTTCCGACCTTTACCCTAAGTTTCAAGGTTAAATAAAGGTCAACCTAAAACATTAAACATAACACCCTGTGTTTATATACCAGAAATCAATAGAACTCAATTTACGTAGGAATATAGTATCGAAAAATTTTTTCTTGCAAGCTATTTTAAAGTCAAAATATTTTTTCTTTGAATAACTGGACAAAAATGTTTCAAGCTTAAATGAAAAATTAGATTGTGACCTCGGATTTGACCTAGCAGCTAGTTAGATCATCAAATATTATTTATTAATCTGTGTTAATGTGTTAAATTTCAAAATTGCTGTCAATATCACACTACCAGTTTTATTTATTTATTTATTTATTTATTTATTTATTTATTTTTATTTATTTCACTACATATCCAACAGGCAAATGCCCAGTTATAGGATACAAAGTCAATGTAGTAATACAACACACAACGCATTCGAAAATATATATCAATAAATAGAATTAATAAAAATAAATGAACATGGCAATATACCAGCACAAAATATAGTAAGACATAATATAATATACATACATATACACAGAGAAAAATATACAGCGTGGTAAAAAAGTTCTGCATAAAATTCATATTTTCGTTAAACAATTTTTTTTTCGAAAAACGGTGAGACCCGTCGATTTTTATTTGATCCAGGGCACCTTGTTATGTGGAAAAATTTTGTTTTCGATAATCCACTTACGGCAGCGATGACATAATTTTTTTTTAAATGACAACGCATATTTTTTTCGTTCGAAATTGATGACAGTGATAATTATCTAAACAACGGTGTGAAAATTTCGATGTCTTACATAACAATTTTTTTTAGAAAAATGCACCTTAAGTTCTTATAAGTGATAATTGTCTACTTACACTATTAATGGCTCCGAAAAGGACAAAGTTGACAAAATTACATTTCAAACGAGTAAAATTACACTAATGTTTGTGTAAGTCTAGCGAAATTGTTCGAATTGCCCACCCTGTACCATTTGGCATTGTCCTAAGCGTGTGTAAACGCCGTCTACACTTCGTTCAAGCATTCCCGGGTCGATTTGATTTATTTCAAAACGAATACGGTTTTTAAGTTCTTCCAAATCACCTGGTCTGTTTGTGTACACACGCGATTTCAAATAGCCCCACAAAAAAAAGTCTAGAGGTGTTAAATCAGGCGAACGCGGAGGCCACTCGATTGTTCCGCGTCGCCCGATCCACCGGCCAGTAAACGTGTTATTCAAGTACTCCCGTACTTGCACTCCATAATGGGGCGGTGCACCATCCTGCTGAAACCAAATTCTTTCCTCAGGAATATCAGGATCCTCGTTGTTCGGGAATAACTCTGCTAAGCTTGGGACCAAATCGAACCGCAGGAAATCCAAATAGCG